TATATATATATATATATGTGTGTGTGTGTGTGTGTGTGTGTGTGTATGTATCTATATATATAAGAAAGAATCCACTTATTCCAATAGTAAGTTCACTCACACTTACTATATTCAATTACTTATGTTTTATATCAAGTTTCAATGATCTTACCATTGAATTAAAACTTCATAATATATAGATTAAGACTGCAAATTTTTTAAAAAAATTGAAAACTAAATGATACTTTATTTTATTAATTCAAATTAATAGTTAATCAAAAAAGTATTTTATACATTAATTTAAATCAATGAAACAAAATATCAAATATCTTTTAAATTTTAAAAAAATTACAAAATTTATCTATACATTAAGAACTTTTAATTTAATGATTAGATCATTGAAATTCTTAATTTATCTTTGTAACTTTATAATTTTAAAATTAAAAATATAGGTAAGGATAATTTAGATATTATATTAAAATATTTTAATATTCATCCTCTCCCCACTAATTTCTTCAATATTGCAAAGGAGCTAAAAATTGGGTTAAAGAAGAATTTTGACTCCTTCCCCTCCTAAAATTTAAACCAAATAAGACATTAAAAAACTCTCTTCTCTCCCCCACATTTCCCTCTAACTAAACACTACTTAATGGTGTAAAAAAGTGGAAAGTAGTTATATCAATTTTATTAAATTCTTAAATTATATTAGTGTAATTATTTAAGAAAATATAATATAGCCCTCAAATAAAATTTAAACTTAATTTTAGGATATGAGGAATATTTTGTTTCAAATATAAGAAAATATAATTGTAATCATTTCATATGAATATTTTGTTTTTAATATAAGAAAATATAATTGTAATTGTTTTGTATGAATATTTTATTTTTAATGTAAGAAAATATAATTATAATTTAATATGAATATATGTTGTATTATTTTTTAAAATATTATAAAATATATTTGATTATCTTAATTAATATCGTATAGTATCTCAACGGTAGATCTAAACGTATGAACATTTTAATGATAAAAAAAAAAAAAATCATTCTTCTTTATGTAATTAGTTTGAGAAGGAATATTGGATCTTAGCAAAATTTTCAAATTAATTTTGTTGTTTTTTTTATTACTAATTAAGTGAGTAACAAGTTATAATTTTTTTATTTTTCTTGAAAAATTTCGTTGAATTCAAGAACTAAAACGAGAGCCTGCGACAACTTGAGGGGTCAAAGAATGTATTCGATTTTGGGGGATAAATTAACTTGTAGCTTTTCTCGCTCCAGTGAAAGAAAACATTATACAAAACTAGGGAAAAGGAACTATTTGGTATTCAGCCACTTGCTGACAAAAGCTCTGCATATTCATGTTCTAAGATATTTGTTACATGACACTTGATATCTTGTTCAATGATTAACATGTTGTTCAGGTGTATCCACAAGTTATCATATCTATAGGTAGCAACTGTGACAAGCCTGGTTGTCACCACCCATCGTTCACTTCATTCCAATTTTCCTGACAGAGACAGACAATTGTGATCCACATAAACCTCTCCATATTTAAACTCTCTTTTAGCATATGGTTTGAAAAAGTTTCTTGCATAATTCATTTATGGTGGTATTAACATTTGTAACAGGTGCAAAGGTGTTTCAAGAATGAAAGTGCTCTCATCACAACATTTGAAGGGAACCATAATCATCCACTACCACCACCAGCCAGACCTTTGGCAAGCATCACCAGTACATTGTAATTTAAAAATGTCACCCAACATGAATTAGCCTTACTCAGGGAGAATCTGATTCATTCTGTTAAAAAAAAAGTTAATAATAAGCTCATGATAACTCGCACTTGCAATCAGGTCATCAAGATGGAGCCCTAGAACACCATAAGTGGCACAAAGCTTTACAAGCTACCATTCAATGCCACACAGTTCAAAGGCATAGCAATATTAAGTCATAATTGCAAGCAAGCATCCTAAGGAGCCTTATCAATTCATATGCTTGAGAGTTTAAAAACACTAAAATAGTTATGGTAGAAGAACACAAATAAAAATCCAGCTTACCAAAAAAGCAAAATCAAACAAACAAATCAACAAATCCTAGGACCAAACCTAAATCAACAAGCCCAAGTAAAATATGCAGAGATCAGAGTGAGAGAGACAAACCAGAGAAAGAATGAGCCCAAGGAGCGAAACTAGCAAACTTTAGTGAGCAAGAGCAAGGAGAATTAGCGAGGGAGGAGGAGACTTAATAACATAGTATTGCTTTACATATGGTTGGTATTGACTAAAGGTCATCCGATTCCACAATCTCTTTTGCAGATTGCTTTACATATGATCTCAACCAAACAAATAATTTCAGAAGACTTGATCAAAAGAATATAGTCAAATACATGCCCCCAAAACATCATTAATAACATCCTACATTTACTGTTTCTTCCTAGATATTAAAAATTTGGAAAATATATATAACTCCAGCTAACAGTTTTCATCTTCATCTATCATTTCACGTGACTCACTAATCTGCAGTGTGTTATGTAGTTATGTCTATACATATGCAATCCAGATCATGAAACCATTTCCATGACTCAAATTGCATACTTTCCATTTAGTTAATCATATTACTCTGATTAAAAAATTAACATTTTTCTAGGAACCATCAGATTATAGATACGAAACAATTAAACAAGAGAAGAACATAATAGACATAATCATAATTCATAACTCATTCCACTAGTGCTTATTCTTCTTGAACTTGCAATCCATATATGGATTTGAATACAACATGATACACATAAAATAACTGTATGCTGCATATACGAGAAACTGCTATTATATGTTTTCCAGCAAAGAATACATGTCCATCAACCAAGTGTACATGCTTGTACAAAATATGTTTTCCAGCACCAAGGAGCCTGTTAGAAATTTTGACATATATGTCCCAAAAGTCCATTTACAACAACAATATCCTCATTTTATTAGGTAAAATCAGTTGCAAGGATCACACGATGTCATTGTACTCCATTAAAAATCAAATTCTAAAAAAAATATTCATCAAGAAATTTCTTTAATATTTTCCTTCAATATCCTTCTTGGTCTCTTTCTAACCCTTTAATTGGTTACAACAATGATACAGTTAGATAGTTGAAAAAGTCAAAACAAACTATGCCCCCCAAAATGCAAGGTAAATCTCATAAATGGCTTCGTGCTGAAGTAATTAGAAGATTCTTGACTAGATAACAAAGTTTACCATCATGCAAAAGTGCACATCCTCCACCCCCACATGCGATGATATCATTAAAAATACGGATTTTCCCCACCTTTTGACTGCACCAACACCCAACATTGCAGAATCAAAATAAGTCATGACAGTTTACATTGTTTCTCCAGACAAAGTAAAAAATAGAATAGAAAAGATTTTGAGACTTACAGTTTTTGTACAAAAATTATCAGCAGCAGATGGCATGATTGATAGAACATGTTCAGAGATGCAACCAGTTATCATCACAAAGTAGTCCAATATGTGATGCAGGGCAAGCTTGAGGACAGTATTTTGAATAGTGAATTCCAGACAAGTAGCACAAACTCAACAAAGAAATTTCTAACTATTATTTCCCTCTTAAACTCATGCTCTTTCGCTTCTGACTTAGTGCATAACGCCTTGCCATTCCATGATTATAGAATTTCCTCATATGTTCTGAGAGCCTATGAATGGCCTGGAGATCACCAATCACTGACAGTTGCATCAAAAAGGAGTCAAACTTTTTATATGGCAATTTTATTTCCTTGTTTATCACTTCTTCCAAAAGAAAACAAGCATCTTCTATTTTATTACATTTAAATAGCCCCTCAATCATCACACAGTACGTGTCAGTGTCCGGTTTGCAACCTTTATTTTCCATTTCCTGCCATGTATCAAACGCCCCATCAGGATCATCCTTCTCAAAAAACATTGACATCAGCATATTATATGTCTGGACACTAGGAATGCAACTCAATTCAATCATCCTTCCATATAGTTTAAGGGCTTCCTCAGACTTCTCATTGTCACAAAGCACCTTGAGAAAACAATTATAAGTAACAACATCTGGTGGGTAACCTTTGTTTCCCATCTCTTCCAAGAACTTGTAAGCTTCATCTATCTTTCCACTCACACACATTCCATCAACTATTTCCTTGTATGTTGTGACATCAGGAAGGCAGCCACTGCTAATCATATGCCCTATAAGTTTAAAACACTCCTCCATTCTATCATTTTGGGCAAGAGCCACAATTATAATTGCATAAGTCTTGGCAGTTGGAGAAGACAAAGTTGAACCTTTCGTCCTCATGAACTCAAAAAGATCTACTGCCTCTGTTATCATACCAGCTTTGCAGTAGGTATCGATAGCAGTGTTGTACGCAAAATTGTCTGGCCTATGACCCAGTTGAACCATTTCTTCCATTAGTTTCATCCCTCTTGTTGGGTTTCTAACCCTACACCACCCAAAAACCAATATGTTATACGTGTCCTCATTAGGCTTGACCGTTTTTCTCATTTTCTTATATAGAGTTTCAGCATCCTCAACCAAGCAACACTTGCACAGAGCATCCAGCAGCAAGTTAAATGCATTTATTTCCGGTGGCGTCTTCACCTTTATCCTCTTCTTTTTCGCAAACTTTTGCACACGAGTAAGATACTTCTCAGTATACTTTCTCAAAATCGTCAAGAGAACTTCACGCGGAACCGATGTCTTGTTATTCCTCTTCATATATTCCAGCATATCACAAACTATTCGAAACTGTTTTACCTTGTACCTTGTACTAGATAGGATGTCCATCATATCATTATAAGCACAAGGCTCATGTGAATAATCCTCTTGATGACCAGCCCAAGTGAAGAACCTAAATGCAATTTTTTCATCATATCTAAGCCTATGCAGCACCCCAGTAACCAAAGGAGTGGACAATGGGATCCCCAATTCGCCAAGTGCTTTCTCCAAATTGCTAAATCCATTTAAATTATCCACTATAGTACTATACACCTTATCAACATCACTTTCTAAACCATTAACCTCCACAACACCACTCTCGCTACAACCATGACCTTGGTTCATGGAAACAGTTTCTGAACAATAATGTCGCCTAGAAATATGACAAGCAATATAATAGTTCAAGGGCAACGAATACTGAATGAAATGCAAACAATGAGTATTATCATAAAACAATGGCCTTTGGCAATAGGCAAGGTAATGAAAGGGTGAAAACCTTGTAGATTGAAGAGTGGTTTCAGTTTGTGGCAAAACTTTGTTTCTGAATATGTGAGAAGAATGGTGGGTGCGGGATGAGAAGGAAGGGATTTTCAGAGAATTTATGTACCTGCGAAACATACCCATCATCGTTATTTTAGATTTTGGGGTTGAAGCAAATAAGACAGGAGCTAGAAGGGGATAGAAAGAAGGAGCAGGAGAAAAAAATGCGATTTTGACATCTGGGTTTGTGTGGATTTTCTGGGAAGTGATTTGGAACATAGGGAAAGAGATATATGCGGTTTTGTATTGTATAACATTTTTATTTTAGTTTAGTTTTTCTTTTAGCTTATATATTAAATATTAATCTTCTATATTGGGTGAGATTGTTTTTAATAGTGTTTTTTAACGTGAGAATTTTAGAATTTTTTTTAACTTTTTATTTGATTTAATTTATAAAAAAATCATTAAAAAATTGTTGATAAAAATATATTTTACCGTGCAAAAGGTACTCTTTGTTTTTTATTGTTCAAATTTTTTTCCATGTGATATTTAAAATAAAATATAAAAAAACACTCCCTCGTATATTTAAATGACACATATTTTTCTTCTAATTTTTTAAACATATACATTTTTTTATGTTTATTTAAATGACATACACATTATTAATTAAAGTGAAAAAAAATATAAAAAAATAAAATTTTATATATATCTTATCAATCATATACGTGTTCATCAGTTATTTCTAAATTATATATAATGTTTTTTTTATAAATATTTTTATTATTCTTTAATTTTGAAAATAATAATTTTTCATACCATTTTTTAAAATTGTTCCTTTAAGTTAATATATATATATATATATAT